GGTTACTCTTACATATCAAATAACGACATCGCAATTTTGCTTTAGATCATGTAAATAGTTATATATTAGAAACAGTCACATGGTGGTAGAATGACCCGATATTTTCAAGACGTACAGTGTTAGTGTAAAATACAGTGTTAATGCAAGTTTTGAAAGGGGTTTGGTTTATCTTGAGTTTAAGCACTTGCTTTGTATGTTAAATTCGATTTCCCTCGATTTTTAAGTTTTTAAATTCAGGGACGAAGTGATCTCCTCCCACGGCAGTGTTGTCCTTGCGTAGAGTTGTAAAGATACTCTTATAAATAGCATATTTTAAAGCAGAACCTTAACATCAAGATTGCTTATTTTATATACAACTATTCTGGCCAATCAGCTTTAGTTTTTTAAGTCATGGTTTAGAGGTGGATACCTATCTACAGACCGCAAAAGAAGGACTAATGTGAGAAAAATCTGCATTTTGAATCTGATTTAAGATGTAGATGAACAACATTTTTTTGCCACCTAAAGCCGTTTGTACAAAGATATAAGACAGAAGTGTATTTCTCAGAAGCACTGTTAACCCTTCAATAAGTTTAAATGTAGTAAATGGGGGAACTTACACATACGAGGAGCGCGAAAAAGCTCTAAGCTAGGTCATAGCTGTCAAATTTCTGGTGAACAATAAATATACTTTTTTGTTATTATCCGGCCCGCTTGAGGACCTTACGTAACCGTAGTTCATCATGAGAACCTCCAGAATACCCCCAAAACTTGCTCCCAAGAAAAGATATCAATCATCTAGCTCTTACACATTAGCATAAGAGATTAAAAACGGTATGCTTTGGTTTGTCAAAATTTCAACTTTGGTCTGTTTTAATTCATATGGTTGTTTGGTTGTTGTTTTATTGTTGTGGTTGTGGTTTTTTAAAAGTAGGTTTAAAGGCTACTTGCAATACAGCAGGCCTTAGTCATATAAGTGCCGAATATCAGAGGGTTGTTTTTTTTTACATGAGAGTAACAAACACAAAAAAGGAGGAGCAAACCAAACTAGAGCACCAATCAACCACCTGCAACGTTTGTTTTTCTTAAAAAAAGGTTTCGCTTTCCACGGCTCAATAAGTGATGATCCAGTTTGGCTAGCAACCTTATATGTACGGTACTTTGAGTTTGGCTCTCTATACGAATAAGTTTGGCAGCTCTGCCCTAAACGTTCCATCTTTCATCCCTCTAGTCAACCGGAATTTTGACGGATCCTCCACGTCGCCATACACAACTATAACTGATGTCCAGACAACGGACGTGGACCGTGACCCCATTTTCTACTCAATGTCCACTTCACCCAACACTGACTTCCTGGAGATAGGTTACGGTGGGTGCACTGCTGTTTTTGGGTTCGAATGCCCACCTGCTTGTGTAGTTGGTATTTATTTTAATAGTTTTGATTGTTCTTCTCCTTATTGTTGTTATTGTTTTTGTTGTCGTTGTTGTCATATAAGTTGTTGTTGTTGGTGTTTCTTCTTCTTCTTCTTCTTCTTCTTCTTCTTCTTCTTCTTCTTCTTCTTCTT